CCTTAACCGTTGTTTTAGAAGGAGAACAATGATGAAAAGAATAAACGACAACAACAGCAATACCAGCAGCAACCAAAATAATAATAATAATAAATAATAATAATAATAATAATAATAATAATAATAATAAAATTTTGATTTTGATTTTTTCTTTTTTTTCTTCCCTCGGAAAGGTCCAAACGAGAACTAAAAAAGTCCTTTCTGTTGCATAGAAAGAACTGAAAATAAGTTATAATTTCAAGCGCTTATGGCTTTGTCTCTCCCTTTTGTAGATTAAAATATTTCTTACCATGTAAAACTTTGACAGCCACCACCTGTGGTGCCTTCGGCTTCCTGGATGATGAAGGCCATTTTGAAGTCTCAGTGACCAACGCCTCCATCTCATCAGTCTTACTAAAGGTTGCTTTGTAAACAACACCAAACGCTCCTCTCCCCAGCTCTTCCTCGAATTCTATTTGCTCAGGCAATATTTCCCACTTATCAGAAAGCTGTGAATCAGGTGATCTGGGGACGAAAATCCAGCTTTTATTATATATATATATATATATATATATATATATATATATATATATATATATATATATATATATATATATATAATAAAAGCTGGATTTTCGTCGACGAATCATTAAGACAGATTAAGGTTGCTATTGATCAAAAAGCGTTCGAGAGTAATCGTAATGATAGCCTGGCTGTTATCGGTTCAAACACCACATTTTCAACCTGAAAAACACACCATCGCTAAAACGTTCGGCTTGCACACGACTGTTTGTACAGATAAGAACGTGTAGAGAAACCGCGGAACAAAGCATTGAACGGGAGGTCGGAAATGCCTTTAAATTCCGTACCGTAAAATTCCGAAAATAAGCCCCGGGGCTTATATTTTTCAATGGCCTTTTTTGAGGGGATTATTTTTTAAGGGGCTTATATTCGGAGGGGCTTATTTTCTATGGAGGGAAATTTGCGTTTCAAAATCGATGGGGCTAGCCTTATAGTTGGAAGGAAATTTACCGTTTTTGCTTTGTTTTACTTTGTATTTGAGGGCAATTTCCAAGTAGAAGCTCAGGCTCTTGGGCGTTGAGTTTAGGTTGCACTCTCCCAACGTCGAACGCAATAATATTTTTTTATCACTCACGTCAATTTTTAATTGAATTTTCAAGCTATTATTCTTTAGTATCTCTTCTTTTTTACTGTCTTTCAGGTTTTCAACCCCTCGGCTAAAACAAAATGCTTGATTATTTTAAATAGAAATTGCAACCTGAGTGACTTAATTCCTTGTAAGTGTCATCAAGACAGGTGCACGACGCTGTGTAAGTGGCCACGGGATGCAATCTAACCAACAACATCGCGCTAAAATCAAATGCTCCGAACGTAACATTTGGCCTATGTGTTTTTGATACACTTCAACCGGAGAAACAATTACGCTGAACATTGTGGTTAGCAAATTAAAAGCTACACAAACCTTTCAATAGTCTTTAACTTCTTTCTTCTGTAGCACCAGACGAAAAAAGCGACGGAGAGCAGCAAAAAAGTGGAGGTGACACCAACTGAGATGTAGATGACTTTAGAAATGGCGCGGGTCGGATTTTCTGAAACTAAAGGTATTGCATTATAATAAATTGGCATAGGAAACGTGCTACTGTGCGCTGAATAAAACAGGTGCATTAGCTTACGAAAAATTACAAAAAAAGCCTTCAAATCTACCTCGCCGCTAAACATGGCTTTTCTTCCTTCACGGATCTTCGTTAAATAATCTAAGTTCTCCCTGTTTCTGAGGAACATTGCAAGGCAGGCATAAATTGACAATTTTTTAACTTTTTTGTGTCCATCATACTTACTACTATTACACAGATGTCCTTCACAACAGTGTAAATGTTGATCTTCTAATTGTCGGCATTGATCAGCGGATATACAGCCTTGAATGGTGATTTGTTCGCCGCTTCCCATTGTATTGTCGTATTTGAAACAAAGGTTTTCCGGAAATGTACAGTTGACTGTAATGGGAACAGATGAATTCCTGCTAGGGTACTCATAACAAACAGTACCTAAAGATAAATGCAGAATTATAGATAGAAGTTTTAAAAACCATCGAGTATCTCGCTGACAAGGTCACTTACCTCAAAGTCTGGGGTAAAGGCGTGAACATATAGCTTTTAGACAAGCCTAGAAGCGGAGCTTTTATTATATTGGAAGCTATTCACTAAAATTTGATAGATTTTAACCCGAAAATACTAAACGAAAGTTTAAGAGGAAAAACGTAATGCACATTTCGCCCAATTTCAGAGAAAAAGCAATAATTTTCATACAACTTCTTATGTGGTTGTGGCCGTATGAATAAATAATTAGCTAAGTAGATTAGTGTTATACAGGGCTCTTATATTGAGCATAGGCTATTTGTGCAATAAAATGTTAAGTTTAACCTTCTTGATGTGGATGATATAAAACGTACTTGTTACTGACGCTGGCATTTCACAAATAGAGTTCTTTAGGTCGTTACAGTCCGGCCCCTCTTCTATCGTTCCAGTATCTGTCTTCATTTGCCAACACTTTGAATCACCTTTTCGGCCAATCCACACTTGCTGTATAAAGGAATTACAAGGGATAGAGAAAAAAAAAAAACATTAAATGGAACAATTTACCTAAAAAGCCACAATTAAGGTGGTTGGAAACACTGTGATCATTGGAGTGTCATTCAAGGCTCGTTGAAGGTATAAGGCTCATATTTGGTATGGACAGTTTAGAAGTAAGATTTCGATCGTTGCCACGGCAACAAGGATATATCGAAAAAGCCTAATTTTTTAATTTTGTAGGTTTACGCAAATCGAGTCATTAGATTTCCTTATGAATGTTACCATTAAGAAATCCTAATTTTTTTAACTCAACTTGTCCAAATTGTAACAATTAGTTTTTGAAATTTTCAGGGAAATAGCTATCATGTGAAAATTGAATGTTTCTACTGTTTAAAGCCGTGATATTAAAAGGAAATCTGCAACATTTCGTCAAATTCTCTGCCGTCACGCCATTGAACATTATATGACCAATCATTTTTCCGTTTCGTGATTTACGCTTGAGGTGTTGTTAGTCATTTCAGAAACTAGTATCTACCAGAAATTTTGTATTATTGGTCAGCCTTTTATGCTCTGGTTTCTTTTAGCAAAGTATAGTAGTCATTGTCTTAGTTATTCGCTAGTTATTCACACCAGTCTTAGCCTATATATTTAAGTTCTTTCCTTTTTTTGCCTTATATGATGATTTCTCGGCCAAGACTTTTCTAAGACTGATTGATTAAAGCTGATGTTGTTGCGGGAGTTGTCCGCCTGATGTAACTAAGATCACTGCCATTAGTATGACAGTATGCAGCTACTTCATTACTTACAATCAAATTAAGTTAATAGTTTTTGTCAAAAAGGACATCATTATCCAATCAAGACATCATTTTATATCAAGACGTCTCAGCTGACGAGGGGCAGAACAATTGGCTTTATATCAAATTCACCAGTATTTTGCATCTTGTAATAATTCAGTACAGTTTGTGCGCTCCGCTTCCCAAAGTAACGTGAAACGTGGTCTTTTGAACATTATTTAGCTGCGTAATCTCAAGATACATTGCAGGGTTAGAGTTTTAGATCAGAAACTAATGAAAATGAAATTAAAAATGTCTACTGATTCAATTGGTTCTGTGTCACGAACTACACAGATTATGTGATTTTGCCGCATTCTTCTTTGAAATCTCTTATTATAATAAATTGCCCGCGCCTTAAGCGTGCTCAATATGCATTTAAAACCTAGTATCTCAAATTAAATGCCCATTTCCTGTCCTTACACTTTTCCTACAGATGTGTTGGGGAGAATATATTTAAGCATCAGTTACAAGGAGAAATTTCATGCTAATCATACAGCCTTGAGGCTCAAAGGGTCATAGACTCGGTACTTACATCTATGTTCATTTTCTTCAGACCGATAACCTCCATGAAGTGAATCAAAAATCGTTTTTGATTATCATCATGGACCTTCACTAAATCACCTCCGGAAGCAGCACACACTTGTTGTGCACCTTCCCAGGTATCTTTATTATTTTCTTTGTAGCAAGATACTCCATTAAGAAACCATCCAGTAGAACAGGCCAATGAACCTAATTTGTGAAACATTTACAGCGTAAATTGTTTGAAGCCGATAAGAATCATAGCACTGCTATAAACTTTACGTTTTCATCCACTTTGAAATCTATTCAGTATTATGATGAATTTCCCCAGCCTTAAGCCTGCTCTATGACTCGGTACTTAGATTTATTTCCGTTTTCTTCAGACCGATAATTTCCATGAAGTGAATCAAAAATCGGTGCTTCTCATCTCTAGCATTATTTATCTTTACCAAATGCCCTCCAGAAGTATTACACTCTTTTCGTGCACCTTCCCAGGTATCTTTATTATTTTCTTTGTAGCAAGATACTCCATTAAGAAACCACCCAGCAGAACAAGCCAATGGACCTAATTTGTGAAATATTAACAGAGCGAACAGACTAAGCCCAATAATAACAATCGTTTTGGGGGGATGCAAAATTTTTAGAACCTTATATTTCAAAAACGCTCTGAAAGATTTTTCAATCTTTTCACGGTTAAGACAACGGTCTAAACTATTAGCACACTTGAGGATTTGCAGATCATTGATACAAGTAGATTTAGAGAAAATTACTAATTAATAGATTTCATGTCATCGTTATTCTGTTGCTAAGGAAGCGGCGATGTCAACAAAACATACTCCAAAATTAAATTCAATGTTCCATATCTTGTTTCACTTTGTGGCTTTTCCATACATGCACTACAGCCAAAGTTATGGAACATCAAACTCAAACGGGGAAAAAATGGGTGCGAGCCTCCTTCATATGATCATGAGACAGCTCTAACGCTGATCATTTAAGAGTATTTGGAAAGCGCCCCAAGTGATCAAATTTTACCTGTACTCCTGTCATACCTCGTACGATCGGAGCCTCCCCAACATTTTTAATGCCAAGTTCCCAACAGGAACAACTCACCTTTGGGTCTCTCACATATGAAATATTCGTTTTCCTTGCAACATTTCGAGAGTTTCCAGCCAATTTTCAAGATTTCGACGCATTCATCTTCATAAAAACGTCTTGACATGTTACCGATCCACTTGACGGAAACAGAACTGTTAAACAATTCTCCATTGTTCCATTCATATCCGCCCGTTTGATGCCGAAACGCCAACCCAATCCACACAGAAGTGCGGTCTGTGTCTTTGAAAGACAAGTTATGAACAAACTTCATTTGTTTTTCATTTGATATGCTTACCAGGTCTCCTCCAAACCCAATACACCCTCTTAAAGCTGTTGACCAGGCAAATTTCCTCCGATAACCTAACCTATCCATAACCTTGTAGCAAAAGCCTTCAAATTCGCTCCACTTTTCAGGGCATTCCAAAGCTAAAAGGATAAAATTGAGGCATCTGTGACGATTGTATGTGACTTAAACAGTGATGAAAAATTACTGGATGAGGCTGAGTATGATCTTAAGAATTCAAAAGTAGGTTGAGTTTGATCGTCCGGGTGAACGTAGTCCTGAATAGGACTGTTGTTGTTGACAGTGACTGTCAACAACAAAAGTCCTATTCAGGACTACGTTCACCCGGACGATCAAACTCAACCTACTTGTGAAATGACTCTTGGGTTCAAACCTTTCACGATCTTTTAAGATCGTGAAAGGTTTAAAAGAATTATCACTAATACCAAATCCAATAATCGTTTTATTGTTCTTTCAAAATAATTCCTTTAAGCATTTAAAAAAAGCTTTTAAAACAAGCTAAAAATGCCAAACTCGATCGATGTACATGTTAGGTGCCTGTCTTCATTTGCCTGTTTCTCGGCAAGTTTGGGGTACAGAAGAAGGTTTCAGTAGTCAGGCAGATATTCTTTCAACAGCAGATGCCATTTGTTTAGTTTTATTCTTGCATTTCTTGCTATGTTTTTAGATAGTAGTTCGGCTTTTTCGTCTTCGCGAAATGTGTGAAATGTCCCTCCATTTCATACAGTTTTATTATTTATAAGCTCTACAAAAACAACTCAAACTCTTCCCAGGGCTTCTCGGTTGCCGTTCCTATTCTGGCGATTACTATGTACTATTGAAGTCACTTTTCCGGATATGGCAAACATCTTCCACATCTGGTCAACGCTAGCTGGTTATGAAGTAATAACTGTGGGATTTGGGCCAATCACAAACATAGAAATAACTTCGATGTATAATAAATAAATGAACAATAATTATTGGATGAGGTTATTGTGATATCCGGAATCAAGGTCTTGGTAAGTCTCATCACTTACACTTGTACTGCTGTACTGTTTCACTGACTCATGATCATTAGGTTAGCGTCTTTTTCCTTTTAATTTAGTTTCTTTCTTTTTTCTTTCCTTTCTTTTGTTATTTTAGTTTTTTACTTTCAGCCCGCTGTGAAAATAGAAAATAGCTTAAATAGTTACAAATAATATTTGTAATTATTTTTGTTTAAGGCAAATAAAATTAGTTAAAACAACAACAACAACAACAACAACTTACATTTACCAAGACTGAGATAATTTCGGATATCACAAAAACCGAAACTAGTGCTTATTTTATTAGCATATTCACAGTCAGTGATCCTGGTGTTTTGAGCAATGTAATTAGTTGATATCTAAAGCTGTTTAACAATTTTTGAATGAGGCTTGGTATATAAATTATTCTTCACATGGTACGAAAGGTTAAAAAAAATACTCTCATCGCCCATTGCTTTTGATGAGCAAACAGCGCGTGAAAAGCGACTCAAAAATTACTAAAAGATCAAATAAACATACATACCAGAATAACTCCTTATTACTGCCAATAGGAGTGACATGAACAGTCCGATTGTGATCATAATAGCATCAGATATATGATCTGAGGAGGCATTAACGTATAGCGAAACATTTCTCGATCAATGGTTAGTCGGAGAAGAAAACTAGAAAAGACTTGTTGTTATCGGAGTACTGCAAAGAAGTCGTATTTTTTTATCTTTTCATATCAGGCAATTGTAGGGTGAGGAGACTCAGGAAATATACTCTTACCTGGAGTAACGACGCTTTCTTCCTTCCCAATATTAGGGCAGACAAATATTATACTTGTCACTCCTCTTTCATTCGAAAAAGATTTGATGAAGAATACGATGCTAAGTCCCCTTAGCTATTGAGACTGATAGGTACGGTAAAATTTTGTTTCAAAATAGGAAGTTAAGAAAAAGAAATCATGCAGGTGCTTTTCATTATGCGGTTGTCAACTAAAGGATTTTGGACAGTTTTACGACGAAAATTTGTCCCTTTGCGTTATTGAGGACAAAACGTTTCAGCAATCAACTTGTTATTTAACATATTAAAGTTAATATTTGTTTCCTTTAAATATTCAACGTCCACAGATATTTACATGCTTTACCCAAGTAAATGGAAACGTGTAGGCTAGTAATTTATATCAGTGAAGACGCCGAACAGCTGTGGAGAAACCGGAAGTACCTATGTCACAAGCTTTTCAGGTTTCATAGGGATATGCCACTTACTTTTTAGTAGGGATTTTAAGCAAAAAAAGTGTCTCTTAAAAATTGCAAATTCAGCTGTCAGTAACCTTTGGAATTGTGATTGCAGATGAATGTGACCTAAATGACGAAGTCTGTATGATTCAGTGAACTATGGGTTCAGTGAACTATGGGGACGATTTAAATCAAGGAGAAGGATTTGACAAAGCCACATTCTTTTTTTATTAATACCGAAGTATCAGCGCAGTATCGTCAACACCTTAAATAGCTGTTTTAATAAATATAACAGGTGAAATACAAGAATGTTCTTGGTATTAAACAATAAAGTAAATATTTTTATTCCTCTAACGAACTGAATACAACACAGCATTTTTGAAACTTAAACTATTGTAGCTCTTACGGGAGCACAAACTGAAAAGGCTGGTAATCGAGTCTCTTACTCTGTGTAATTGTTGTTTTAGCATAGCACGTATCACGATGGCTGAGATTTCCCACAGTTGCTCTCCAAGGTGCAGTTCACCAAAATGAATTGGCAATGTTCGATCGCCTCCCAATTACTTCGCTTAGATCTATACTCTAACAGTATTACTATTTTTGTCGTTTCAATCGCAAATTATCCGAATTGAGTGTTCTAAATTTTCCCCGTAACATTTCTAAAGGCATTTTTTCTCGAACCGGGCCTTGAGAGACCAGTGTCACCCATAACGGGCTCTGGGAACAGGAAGCCTGTTTATGACGTATTTACGTTTCCACGTTTCCAAAACGTTTCCAAGCTACCAAAATTCGAGTTTCTTTCTGCTAAATGTTCTTGTTCAGGCCTTTCGGGGGTTGAGTTTAGGTTGCTTTCAGTGGTCCATCTTGTCAGCTTTAAACATCACCAGGAGCCTAAAACCCATTCAGCACATCTCATTTAGTGGTGAAACGGCTATTTCACAGACTTTTTTTTATTATTTATAGATGGATTTATTTGGTGCCGATTCAGACTATCGAATTAGTCTCACAAACCAGTCACCAGCGAAAGGCTTAGCTCGGAAATTGGTACTTTTGACGTTTTAATGACAGATAGCTTTCTATTTTTCATATATTACACCAGAGCCGGTAAGCAGCAGAGTTTTCATTTTCGCGGACCCGTTCTAAAAATAATCCGTTTTGTAAACACGTCTGGCATATGATAAGGAAGTTGCTCACTCCGAGTAAATGGGCTCCTGTTGTACTGTCGCAATTTGTAATAATCATCGCACTTTGTAATACCTGTCGCGATTTGTAATAAATCCATCGCACTTTGTAATACCTGTCGCAATTTGTAATAAACCGTGTCGCACTTTGTAATAAAAAAGCTGTCGCAATTTGTAATAACTGTCCATCGCACTTTGTAATAAACTAAGCTGTCGCAATTTGTAATAATTCCATCGCACTTTGTAATAACTTTTTGAGAGTAATTAAACTTACTTCGTCAACATTAATATAGCGTTAAAATATGTATGGTACTTCATAAACAAAGATGGAGATGACGTCTGCTAGCACGTAACATCTCCGCTCATTCAAACATTTAACTTTATTCACAGTCCTAAACATTTTTTAGATTAATGTTGATTAGTTATCTGACTTACGAAATGCTGTATTCTTGAACCTTGCTATTGGACTAGGTGGCATAGTATAAAATCAGGACTGGACTCTGGACTCTGGACTCCAGATTTTTTCTCAAGATTTTTCAATGAAAAAAAAAAGAGAAAATTCAATTGTTTTTAAAAAAAAAAAAAAAAAAAAAATGAAAATAATAATAAAAAATGCTTATCCCCGGGGTTAGTCCGCGAAGGGGGGGAGGGGGGATGGACGCAAACCTTAAGTGTACCGCCCCATTAAAACCAAACCGTTCCGAATGGTCATGATTTGCAGTTCGAAAATACATGATTAATTTTGTCGAGTGTGCGCGACCTTCGCGTATTATATTCTTAAAAAACGGGTACAAGAGATGTTTTGAAAGTTCTCAAATAGCACTCGCCTTTTCCGTGTGTACCAATTTTTCACGACCGTTTTCCAGGTTTTATTATTTCTTAACATACATTTCCGTCGGTAGCCTATATATCAACATCGAACCCATGGGTAATAAATTCGAGACCGTCAGGGTTACTTTATTTTCATTTCTTTGGTTCCTTTATTAGCGTAAAACATGTAACAGTAAACTCAATTACCTGGCGAGAATCAAGCAAAGACTCCTCCAGTGCCTTTCGCATGGCCTCTTCCTCTTCCTCATACTGACAAAAAAAACTACTGGTGCCCGGTTCAGGAGAAGAATCCATAACTCAGAGGAGAAACGAAAGTCAAGACACGCTTTGAGCAGTGCCGACTACAAAGTGAACAAGTGTGCCCGGCAAGAGTGTAGTGCAGAAGGACTGAGACCGCGCGATAATTAGATGACATGCCGCCCGATAAAAAGATAACATTATGCAAGGCACTTTGGGCTTCATTATTGTTCGTGTCACTTTCTGGAGTTTAGTTTTGAATTTAGTTACGCAGGAGTTATAATTGAAAGGTTGTGTAGGCCAGGTTTTAGATAAAGCCGGTAAATTCCAGAAATTCAGAGAAAACACCTAGCGAGTTAAATAAAAAACGAGGGTTTATGACCGGAAATTTTGGCGAAGCCAAGTTAGACTGCCTCGCGAGATGGTATAATGTTAAATGCCGCAGACAGTCGGATTTCCATTATTGTTTGCCAGACGCTCGACACTTGACACAGTTCGACACAGTTCGCGCTGTTCAGTTTTCGTAACAGAACTTTTGAATTGACAGACGAATTTTAAAATCCTTCTAGTTTCTTTCGATTAACAATGGCACACATGGTATTTACGCGCGATGAATAATGCTTTGCCGTTCGTTTGACGGCATGAATAGAAGAATTCGTCGCACACTCCTCGTCTCGCCCAAAATAAACTTTTTCTCCTTCGCATAAATATAGCGAGATTTAATACAAGAAAATACATTAAAGAGTACTTCGGCGCTCACTATTTTTTGAAAGTTTTAACATTTTTTATTTTCATTTTATTTTCCTTTTTTAAAAACAATTGAATTTTCTCTCTTTTTTTTTCATTTAAAAATCTTGTCAAAAAATCTGGAGTCCAGAGTCCAGAGTCCAGTCCGGCTTTTATACTATGCCGTACTAGGTGGCTTGCATTCAATGGTTACCCGGCGGGTATACTTCCTTATATGGCCAATACGGGGATGTGCCTCTGGACAGAGCATTGCCAGAGTAGAGGATCTAGACAGAGCTATAGACACACTAGACACAAAAAAGCCATTAATTAATTTCCGCTAATCGTAACATCCATCCTACATCATTCGAATAAGGACACCATGAGAGTTGAAGCTTTCCTTGTTAGATCTTATAACAGGTTGACACAACATGTGGTACACCGTTCTTGTCTAACGAGCAATCTTAAAGAAGTAATAGTGGCTTCCATATTTTGGCCAACGTAATCAAACGAGGCCTGGAAAGATTCAAAATGTTTACTGCAAATAAAAAAAAACGTCACCAGTGGCAAACCTTCGAACCACAACAGAAACTTAAACACAAAATCCAATTAGTCGCTGGCCAATACCTTCGTATGTACCCGTTTTTATAACACTCACTTGGGGTCTTACACTGACCCGGCTGGGCATTTGGTCCATTATTCTCACTTGATTTGGTCCCATATAGGAACAAAAGGAGTACTCATTCCATCTTAAAACAATTGTTTTCTGTAAGGAGTCCTCTAAAGCAAATACCATGGGGATGGTAAAAAATTATCCTTCCCTGCGTATATACAACTCATAAGACCTTGCAATTTTTCCGAGCGTGTTCTGGATTACTGTTTTTCTACAAAATGGAAAGGATGGAATAAACCATCCATTACTACTTGAGTTACCCTATCTAAGGATCAAACCAAAGACACAAGGCCAACAACGTAAAAACTGATACCCTATTAAAGGCTCGAGATCCTCAAAAACCATACCCTATCAGGCGGTACTTACCTATCTATAGCCCATCCATATATGGAATTATCCCCCCCCCCCCCCGCCGGAGACTTCACGTGTCACGTGGCAAGCAAACATGGATTTGGACGACGAATGCCAGGTTCTTCATGAATTTTCTGTTGTTAAATGTTGCCTTTCTTATTTAAATATTTTTGAATTTAAACGTGATTTATATCTTTTTGGTGATATGTCACAGGAAGTTTCATGTCTTTCATAAAAGCGTTTCTAGTTAGTCATGTGATTAATCAAGGCAGAAAAAATTTATAGCGGAAGACATGCATGTTTGACCAAAGAAAATGTTACGGAGATGTTACATGCTAGCAGACGTCATCATCTTTGTTTAT